TATTCCAATACAGTTTCCAGCATAATAATCATTGTGTTTATAAAGTACTTTTTATTTTTGCAAGGTACTTTCTCAACATCTCATTCCTTATTTCAATGACAGGTTGTTGAAAATAAAAGGGAGGTATTATCCCCACCTTAAAGATGAGCAAGTGGCCTGCCCAAGGTAATCCCAAAAGTGCATTCATTCACTTAACAAGAGCAATTCATTAGGCATCTATTGCATAGGTATGGAGATGACAAAAGGAAAAAGTCATTTACAGCATATAGTTAGTGGTATATTTGAGACTAGAGCTACTACCATCAATCAGTCAGACTTTCATCCCAAGAATCATCTGACTAATTTTATAGGTCCTATTCTGCAGATGGCAGTACCTCATCTAGAAAAAGTAACTATTGAAAATAGTCTCAAAAATCATTTTTCTATGCTTGAACTGTGAAACAAGTGGTTATCTGAATTGTTATTTGAAATTTAAATATCTGCCACTCCAGACCAGCAGGCTCAGTTAGACTCAATGTGCACTTTCACTCTGGAAGATATCAAAAAATGATCACTGAAACAATTGGAGAGGGAACCACTTGTGAGAAAAAGTAAAATTCCCATACCTCAAACAAACTAGACATTTTAGATGTGAGTAGATAGGTAGTGTGCCAGGCTTGGGGTCAGGACATTCAAATCCTAACTCAGTCACTTACTAGGTATGTAACTGAACATGTCACTTAAACCTCTTCAGCCTCAATTTGTTCAGCTGTGAAATGGGGCTAATAGGACTTACCTCACAAAGCTGTTGTGAGGATCAATTAAAATATTTGTAAAGCACTTTATAAACTTCAAATCACTATATAATTGTTAGCTATTACTATTATTATTCCCTCACCACAAAGAGGCTCTTTCCCAATTTAACATCTCTACTTATTATCAGTACCCCTGCCCCCAGAATCAAACTTTGCATTCTTTGTCTGGGATTCAATGAGTATACCTCCAATTATGCAGCCTCCAACAACCCCCTCCCCCAAGAAACAACACACAAAACAGTCTCTTTCCAGCGATCAGATATGAACTTCATTCTCAGGGGACCCTTCCCTCAAAAAAGAATACCAACCATGGCCCCTAGTTTCATTTTCTGTGCTCTTGCCTCTTTATTTGAGCTCACACACACACACACACACACACAAACAAAATTCGGGAGCCTCTTACCTCGGTTACAAGCAAGTCCCCCTAACCTACACACCCCCCTCCCCCACGTGACCACGGCCCCCTCTTTCATCTGGGGCTCGCAGACCCTACCTTACAACCCTTCCCTTCCTTCCACTACCCTTTCCTCAAACAGTGACCCCTCCCCAGGGGATTCAGCCAGAACAGCCACCCGCGTGTCGAACCCCCTCCGCCCACCTCCCCTGCCTTCATTCCTCCAGGCCCGGCTCCCGCGAGGGAACTGAGACCCCAATGGGGAGAGGAAGGGGGCGGCAGCAAGAGGGGAAGAAGGAACTAGGGTTGACCATGCGCATGCGTCCTTGGAGCCGCGGTCGCCGGTCGCCCCTTAGGCCCCGGACCCGGCCCGGCCCGGCCCGGCCCCACCGCCGCCGCCCCCCCACCCGTGCCAGCCTGGCCTGGAGTCCCAGCCAGCCCTTGATGAAAAGGATACTGAGCGCCAGCATCTTGGACTGGTAGTCAAAGGCTACCACCTCGCCCTGCAGCCGCTGCTCTTGGCACGTTCGGCATGAAACCTGGCTCCCAACGCTGAAGTACTCGCCCGGAGGAGCCGCCATCTTGGGAGAGCAGCGGCGGGCGGCGGGGCAGCGGCGAGGCCGGCCCCCTCAGCGCGCCGGCACGCACGAGCGGCGCGATGGCGTCAGCATACAGGAGGCGGGGCCACAGGACAAACTGGGAGGGCGGGGCTCCAATGTGCCGGAGAAGAGAGAAAGAAGAAGGGAGGAGGAGCGAGACAGCCTGGGTGGGTTAGGGAGCCAGGATCAAAAGCCTGGCCCAAAAGAAATGAGGAGATGCAAACCCAGGAAAGGGGTCCTGCACTAAGTGAAGTCCAACCCTCTCCACTGAGCTGACGGTCTTCATCCATTTCTCCAGCCCTCCTCCCCACTAATGCACACAACTTGCCTAAATTTAAGCTAGACCCTCCAATTCGGTTCAGCTTTATTTTGTTTTGAATGGCTATTTTTTGTTTTTTATCTTGGTTTTTTTTTCCTAAAGAAATCTCAATCTGAAACACAGAGTTGTGTTTAAACTTCCTCCAAAATAACTTTTACTGCTGTCTTCTCCTTTCACAAAGTGAAAGAGGAAAAACAGGAATAAGGAAACAAAGGCTGCTAAGGTTGAAATAATCCAATTAAATGAATGAGCTCCTTTAGGATAAAGACTTCAATTTTTTAGCTTTTTATGGCTAGGATCTAGTATCTTGCACATAGTTGTTGAATTATTTAGTTAGAAGTGAATTGAATCAAGACCCTGCTGACTGTCATTTCCTCTCACTTCCTACAAATTTTGACATTTGGCCTCTTTTAGTCTAAAATTCCTGTCTCAAGCTGATCCAATCACAGGTCAAACACCAAGAAACCTACAGGTATGGTCTGGGTTAGAGGGATGGATTTGTCTTTATTGACCACAAATCTCTGATAAACTCATTTGGATCAGAGTCAATACAGAAAATGACAGCGAAAGAACATCAGCCAGCCCGAAATATGAAAAAAGGAAGGAAAAGCATTCCTCTTGCCAAACACGGGGCACAAACCTCCCTGCCCTTTGCAGCACCTTGTTGAAATAAAAAATGATACTACCTGATTATATAGAGTATCTTTTGTAGTCTTTTCATGTATATTACTTCATTTTATTCTCACCCCATCCTGGAAAAAGGTAAATGTAAGAGGTTACAACAAATTAGTGGACCATATCTATTTGTGAGGCTAGAAATCAGATATCCTAACCATGCCTATGTCAACATACCAGCACCCCAGCCACCCTTAAAATCTTTTTCATTATATAAATTAGCTTTTATCATTTCACAATATAAATTACATACAACCTGAACATTACAACATTACCTGAACAAACAACATTACAACCTGAACTGCTTAAAAGGAAAAGACCATGTCTTTGAAAGCAACCCAGTCCCTGAATTGTCCCATGCATTTTAGCAGCCCATTTCACTGGCGCCTCAGCCCAAGACAACTGGCCCACCTCAGTCCACCTGGATCATTTAATTAGCTTACTTGACAATCCTTTCACTCTCTCTGGGTCCATCCCAGACTACTTAATACTCCTTTCACTATTGCACCCGGACCACCCCAGACTATTTGCCACTCCTTAATCCCATTCAGATCCTTTCACCATCCTTTTTGTATATAAGCATCAAGTCTCACTCCCATTAAGTTGCAGATTCACTAGGAACTCTGCCCACTGCTATAAACCTTACAATACTGAAGCTTCTATTTTCCTCATAAATAAACTTCTGATACTTTGACTGAAAGAAGTCTTGAGTGGTCATTGTACCCTTGCATCCCGGGGTTCTCAGCACCCCAAACTGCAACATTTATCACTTCACTTTATAATTGAGCTATCTTTATCAGTTCACCATATAAATTTGCTATTTCTTCATTGAATGGAGTCCACTTTTCCATGTTCATTTCTTCCCTTCCTCCCAACAAAACTAATGAAGGACAAAAATGTCTCAGGCTAGAAATAGGAAATTAATTAATAATTAGGAAAATTAGGAAGTTATCCTAACTCTCCCCTCCCCCTCAACACCCTGTGGCCTAGACCTCATCAAAAACATGATAATCTCTGATTTCCATAAATTCCTTTCTTGAATTACTCCAGATCCTAGAAAACTGTTCATCTCAGGGGTGGGCACTGAACACGGCTTCCCTCTCTCACCCACACATACTTATGTACAAAAATCCACTGTTGGATTCCCTGGATTACACGGCAGATAGACTTCAGGGGCATAAATTTTAGAATTTTAAAAATTAAACTCTTTCTTCTTCCCTCCCCAAGCCCCCATCCCCTGAGGCAAGGCAAAACAAGGCAGTTGGAACACGGAAGTCTTCCAAAATGAGAATTCAATGTCTAACAAGTGTTCCTGTACTGGGGTGTCCTATGAAGGCATATTTAGCATCATCTTCCAATACTATTACAATTCGGAATCAGGAGAGGGGAGGGTGGGGGGATTAACTAAGGTCCCCGGGAGAGAAAAAGAGTGTGTGCTTGTGTGCTTGTGTGTCTGTGTGTGTGAGAAACTGCTGTCCCCTTTCAAAACACACCTGGGATCCTATGGCTATGTCCTTGAACTTTCCTGTCCCTACCCCCTGAAGAGACCACGGAGCTTTCTATCAATAAGGGAAGGCAGCAGAAAGGAAACCTCACTCGGAGAACTAGCTATCAGCCCCCTCAAGCATCAAACTTCAAAGCCCGCCTGTTACCCTCTGACCCTGGACCTCAGAAGTAACCACCGCCCCACGTCCGCTGCGGACCGGACGCGAACTGGGGACACGTGGGTCTAGGGGGAAACGCCCTCGCGAGAGGTTTGTCCCCTACGCTGACCCGTAGAAGGAAGACCGAGCGAGAGGTACAAATCCGGGACGTGGGGGAAAAAAACGGTATTTGGAGGGCAAAGCTCGAGCTTGTGGACCTGGGGGAGGGGGCGGAACGCAGAACGGGGCCGGGGACGGGAGGAAGAGGGAATGCAGTCCTGCTCCGGCAGAGGTGGAGTCTGGGGAGCGCGCGCGTGGCTTGGAGGCGGGGTTTGGGGTGCTTTGGAAACCGAGAGGCGGGGCCGCGGGGGATAAGCGGGGGCTTCCCGGGTAAAGCAGGGGCGAGGTTTGTGGAATGATTGACGTAGAGGGGGCGGGGCCTGGGAGCTAGAGCGCATAGGGGGCGGGGTCTGGGGGCCGCTCAGGAGCAGGGGGCGGGGCCTGGAACACTCAAAGGGCAGAGGGGGCAGAGCTGAGAGCAGAGAACTCCAGGTGCTTGTCCGGCTGATGCTACGGGTTACCTGGATGGGATCAGGTTAGCTGTGCCAGTGGAAGGAAGTGGTAGGGACTGTGGGGAGCACCTTCCTCTTACCCCCGGCCTCCCACAGCTTCCTTCTCTTTAGAAGCAGCATCACCCCTGTCAAACCAAGGTCAAGGGCTCCAGGGCCTGTGGCTTCCTGGCATGGAGTCAACTCTGGGAGTGGGCATCGTGGTGGCCGAAACTCTACAGAGGCAGCTGCCCTGGCTGGAAGACGTCTGGCTCTGGGTCACCTTCCTGGGTGACCCCAAATGCATCTTTTTTTTCTACTTCCCCTTGGCCTACTATGCCTGTCGCCATGTGGGCATTTCTGTGTTCTGGATCGCCTTGCTCTCGGAGTGGCTCAACCTCATCTCTAAGTGGTGAGACAAAACCCCTTACCATCCCTACTCCAAGGTCATGCCCATTGTCAGCAAGAGTTTATTAAAGGCCAGCACTGTGCTAAGGGCTGAGGATACAAAGAAAAAAAAAATGAAACAGTCCCTGCCCTCAGGGAGCTTATATTCTACCTGGGGAATCAACATGTACATATATAAAATATGAAGTAAACCTAAATGCAGCTGGGTGATTAGAAGGAGGGTGGTGCCCTAAACATAAAGAGAGAAATTCAAAAGAGATTTGAGGTTGGTGAAATATAATGAGCTATCTTAATTTTATTATGTTGAGTTTTAGATGCCTGAAGATATCCAATTAGATGTCTTTCCAGGGGATAGACACACACATAGAGACACACCAACTGCCACCCTACACATTAACCCCTAATTGTCACTCCTGAGGACATGCCAATAAACACACCCCATCATGGAAATATACCCATGGTCATCTCATATGCTGACCCCTCACAGCACCCCCATATAGTCATCCCCATACCCAAGCCGTGGATATTTAAACCACAGTTGCCCCATACATACCCATAATCACTTCCCACCTCTTACCACTCAGTGTTATCCTTTGCTCTCCGTCATTGTGTGTTCCCATCCCACCCCCACAAGTAAGGGCTTCCTAGACAAAGAGGAGGACCTCCTGAGTAGAGCTATTTCCCCTTCAAAGTAGAAGGCCTTACCTCCCTTCTTCAGCATGAAAAGCCTAGGGATGAGGGACACAACCCCACAAAAGAAGTAAGTATCGCCATGAATGGACATCCCAGAAATTTTCAGTAGGTGCTTTGTAAGGTCCTCTCCATGTAATCTGCTTTTTCTGGTTTAATACAGGAGAGAGTTGATCTGCCTCTAACTGTACATTCAGCCTTCCCCTTCTGATCATCCCACAAAAGGATGCCACATGCCCAGTCTGGGAGAGAAATAGAAGAGGCAGTGAACAAAAATGTTCACCAGGAGGCAAAATAAAGAAAGTTGAGAAAGAAGGGCTGCTTGGCTCCCTCAATCTCTCTCCCTCTGCCTCTGTCAGTGTGAACCATTGCAGGAACAAGGAGGCAATCTTTTAGTGGAAGTTTTAAGGAGGAAATGGTTATTTTCAGAGAGTTCCAGCCATTGGAATAGCCAGTAGCCATTGGAAACTTTCCTTTTGGAGCTAGTCTTCATAGCACTTTAAGGTTTGCAAATCACTGTTTGTTATCTCTTTTGATCCTCACAACAACCCTGGAAGGTAGGGGTTCTTATTACCTCTATTTTACAGGTGAATAAACTGAAGCCCACCTGGATTAAGGGGCTGTCCAGAGTCACACAGCTAGGGAGTATGTGAGGCAGGATTTGCCTATAACTCTTTCTGACTCCAAGTCCAGCCTGCTACCCATTACAACAGTTAGCTGCCTTCTTCCTCAATTCTCTTTTTCCTCTACCTCTTAACTCCCAAACGAATCTGCTCCTTCCTTAGTTCTGTTTCTTGCTTCAGCTGGAGCGCGCTCACACACACACACACACACACACACACACACACACACACACACACACACACACACACTCTCTCTCTCTCTCTCTCTCTCTCTCTCTCTCTCTCTCTCTCTCTCTCTCTCTCTCTCTCTCTCTCTCTCCCCCTCCCTCTCTCTCCTGAGCCCCTAGGGGACTTATGTCAGTGTCCTCTCAAATACCCTGGCCACCCTCCTCAACTCTCATGGTCTTCCTCATTCTCAGCCAGCCACCGGTGGTCATGCTGTCAATGTCACCTTCACCCCATGACTATGGGTTCCAGAACACAGAAATTTCTCTTTCTAATTAATTAAAATCTCTTCCCCCCCATCTCTTCCCCTGCTTCATTCCTCCTAAATTCTTCTTTCTTCCAGTGACCCCCAGACCCCCCCCCCGTTCCCCTCAATTTATTACCCTTGATCTGGTCTCATTTTGTTCCTTTCACCCAGATCAACTCCTTATTATCTTACCTTAGAATCTCTTGCCCTATTACCCTACTACTACTACTACTACTACTACTACTAGCTTACATTTACATAGTGCTTTACATATAGTATAAAGTGCAAAGCACTTTACAAATATTACCTCATTTTATCCTTACAACAACCTTTGGATGTAGGTGTTATTATTATCCCCATTTTGCAGTTGAGAAAACAAAAGCCAAGAAAGGTTAACTTCACTGATTTGCTCGAGTCACATAGCTGGTAAGTGTCTGAGTATGGATTTGAACTCAAGTTTCCTGACTCCAGGTCCAGCACTCTGTCCGCTGTACTTTCCTAGCTGCCATACCTATAACTGCTTATACTTTGCTGAATCCTCACCCTGAACTATCCCTCCCTACCATCTTTCTTCTCTGTTCCTACTCCCATGCTGCTGAATGCTGTGAGAGAAAGTCACACAACCATGCCTATCAGGTCCACTATAAGCCTATAGTATCTTAACTGGACCCTCACTGCTGCCTTTTTATTGGTCTGTGATTGACTATCATACCCTACATAATAACTGTCCCTAATATTCTCTTCTCTCTCTAAGTTACCTATTTTGTTGTTGAGTCATTTCAGTCATGTCTGACTCTTCATGACCCCATTTGGGGTTTTCTTGGCAAAGATAGCAGAGTGATACATTTCCTTCTCTAGCTACAGATGAGGAACTGAGGCAAACAGGATTAAGTGACTTGCCCAGGGTCACATAGCTAGTAAATGTCTGAGGTCAAATTTTAACTCGAAGAGAGTCTTCCTAACTACAGCCCCAGTGCTCTGTGCACTGCACCAAGTTACTTAGAGCCCTCCCTTTTCCTTCTCTTTCAGCAGGTGACCTCACCTCCTATTCTACTAAGAAAATGGAAGAAAATAGTCTCCACACCACAGAACTCTCTGTCATCCTCTTTCGTTCTTCCTTTGCTCTGTTCTCTGAGGAAGAAGTGGGAACTCTAGTCAGAGCACTTTCTGTTGAGTGATGAGGCCAGAAACCAGATTGTAAAGGGTTGAGAAGTTTAGAAAGATCTCAAGGTCCCTACGAAAGGCACCTCCATTCCCCTACACAAAAGAACAAGAGTGTACATTTCTCTATTTTTCCAGAGAAGAATTGAAGTATGTGAAGTGTAAAAAAACTCTTGTGTCCTCTGCAGGATGCATATAGGCAGTTGTAACTGAAGCAAAAATAGGATTTGGGGTGATGGGGGTAGAATTAGAGGGTACCCCTCATTTGAAGAGTGACTCTTCTGCTAGCTTTTGCCATTCTTCTTAGGCCCTTAGGCCTGGGTAGGAGAGGAGCAGCAGGAATGGGAAATCTCATTGCCTCATCTTCTCCTCCAGGTTCCTTTTTGGAGAGCGGCCCTTTTGGTGGGTTCATGAATCTGGATACTATAATGAAGCACCCGCCCAAGTTCATCAGTTCCCTGTATCCTGTGAAACTGGGCCAGGTAGGTGATCCTCCTACATTATCCCTTTCCCTTTCCAGCCACATTGATGATCTCAAAGCCCTTTCCAGCCTGTGCAGGTTTGAGGGACTTAACACTCCTTCTCTCTTAGTTATAGGAATAGAGAGTAGAGAAGTGAAAGGCATTGGATTGGTTGGTATAATGGTACCAACTGAAGGATACCCCATGCTAATGTATCTAGTTGCCCATTAGTCATGTCCTACAGGGAGAAGATAAAGAAGACTGCATGTGAAGGCCCACCTGTGGCATTAAGTGAGAAGAAAGGCCCAAAGGATCAGATAACCTTTGCCTACCTCCCTTGTGCTCAAACCCTAGCCCCCACTTCCTCCCCTACTTCCACAGAGAGGGAAGCTGTAACTTCTAGGGAAAGGGGACTTAACAAGCAGTTAAGTTATTCTACTTGAACCTAAGAAGGCATCTGGCCCCTTAAACACCATGAATGCCCAAACTCTATGTGCCATCCTGCCCCCTCCCCCCCAGAACCCCAACTCCCAGCCTCACACACACATACCACCACAAGTGGCTGTATTTCCTGGCAGGTAGTCCCTCGGGTCACTGCATGATCACAGGAGCTGCCCTCTGGCCCATCATGATTGCCACCTCAAGCCAGATTGCAAAACGAAATCGCAGGTGAGTCCAGGAGGGCTCTTATATACGGAATGTCCCTCCACAGGCATGGGGTAAGGGATAGACTCCTCGGCCCAGTGTCCATATCATCATGGAGACTAGGAACCAAATCACTGGTGTTGCTTAGCCATCTAATCATATAATGGGATGGAAATGGCTTGACATTATTTGATTTGGAAGGGACTTGAAAGACTGAAATCTCTTCAACAGCATACCCCAAAATGGTCATTTACTCTTCACTTTAAAGTCACAAGTGGGGAGCTCCCTATTTCCAGAGACAGCTCATTCCACTTTTAGGTAACTAATTGTTAAGAAATCTTTCCATGTGTCACGTCTAAAGGTTTCTCTCTCTCTCCACTTTGCAGTCATTGCTCTTAATTCTGATTTCTGTGTCCAAACAGAACAAACCTAATATTTCTTCCATGTCATAGCTATTGTGTCTTCCCAATTCAAAATAATTGGGTGCCCACCCTGACCCACTTGTCTTCTTTCTTCTCCAGCTGCTGGATGAAGCTGATGCCCAGCCTGGCTTATAGCACATTCCTCTTGGCAATTGGACTCTCCCGCATCTTCATCCTTGCACATTTCCCTCACCAGGTGCTGGGTGGCCTGATAGCTGGTGAGCCACTGGAGGGTGGGCAGTGACACTTCGCTCAGGGATGACAAAGCCAAAGACAGGAAATTTTGATTCCCTGGCCCATCACCCCACCCCACCCCAAACCCTCCCTTGTGCCTTCTCTCCTGTGGTTACCCTTGGCCCATCCTCACCCATCATCTGTCTACCCCAAACACTCCCTTGTGCTCTCTTTTCCATCGTGATGCTTGGCCTAGGGACTGTCCCCTCAAATTCCTTGAAGCTGTTGCCATACCCCTTCCCAATAGGTGCTCTCCTGGGATGGCTGATGACTCCGCGTGTGCCTGTTGATTGGCCAGTCAGCTTTTATGGGTTGACAGCATTGGCACTCCTGCTGGGTGCCAGCCTCATTTACTGGAGCCTCATCTCCCTGGGAGTAGACCTGACGTGGTAAGTTCTTGCTCCACCCTAGCCCCTGAGGCAGGATGGCACCTTTTCTGACCCTAGCCATCATCTCTAACCTGTGGGGTCCCTACAGTAGCAGTAGACCAGTAGAGAGAGAGTGATTCTGCTATGGCATACAGTCCTGGCTGAGGCTGAAGAGGAACTTCAGACGTGCCCCCATCTGAAGCAACTTTTCTACAAGGTTTCCTGGTTTTCCTCAGGTCCATTCACTTGGCTTCCAAGTGGTGTGAGCGTCCAGAGTGGGTACACATGGAAACTCGGCCTTTTGCTTCCCTAAGTCGGGATTCTGGAGCCGCCCTGGGCCTGGGCATTGCCTTACACTCACCCTGCTATGCTCAAGTAAGGCGGGCACGGTTGGGGATCCTGCAGCAAGTTGCTTGCCTGTTGTTAGTCCTAGGGCTTTTGGGGCTCCTTAACTGGCTGGGCAACCCACCCCAGCTCAGCCTCTTCTATGTCTTTAACTTTCTCAAGTTTACCCTTTGGCCCTGCCTGGTCACTGCCCTGGTGCCTTGGCTGGTACTCTCCCTCAGTGCCCAGGAGGCCCCACCTGCCAAATCCAAGTGACCCCACCTTCCCTTTGTCCAACCAACACTCCAGATGACTTCTACCTCCCGCCAAGGAGGCCTCACTCATCACTGGAAGAGACCTCTCCTGTTCACTACCCACTCACCCCTGCCCCCAACTGCCATTGTGACTGCTGCTTGCTCCTGCCTAAGATGAAGGCTTCCTTCCACTTGACTCCTGTGGAGACTCTTCTGTGCTCCCAACGTGCCTGTCCCACCCCGATCACTTGATCTTAGCCTCAGAGAAGGGTATGTCTACCTGGAAGGGGACTGGCCCTGTCAACCTTTCCCTTTCCTCACTTTGTTGAAACCCTACCCTTTCCCCCTCTCCCAAAACTTTGCATTTTTTAAAAGCATTGGAAATAAAAGGCACAAAAGAACTTCTAGTACTGTGAGGGGCCGATCCACAGAGGCCCCAGAAGTCCAGTAGCAGTTCTGTGCTTTTGTTCTGCATTTGTGAAGTTCAGAAAGGAGCCAAGCTTAGCCCTTGGTTCTCCTCTTCTGCTCCATGTGGAGGGGATAGCTACCTACCCACAGCCAAGCCAGGCAAGTGCTTTGGACTCAGAATGAGTTACCTTCATTTACCCCTTCCCTCCTCTGCAATTAAAGAATGGGGAAATTAAATTAAATTAAGGACATTCCCTATGGCTGTTTTGAGTTGAGCTCATCCATCTTCTTGCTCCTAGAACACTGATAGGGGTGAGGGCAAAAGGGTCTATTCATTTTTGAAGCTCTCTAGAAATGCTCTGACAACTTTCAACCACCTGACCAAGTTATCTCCCACCCAAAAGAATAAATATCTTTCCCATCCAATCCTCTTTTCCAAATTCATAGAATTACCTATTCTCAGAGCCATAAGGGAGCAAAGACATCATAGAGTCCAAATATTTCTGAGGCATGGAATCTTTCTATGGCATCCCTTACTAGCTGTGTGACCTTGGGAAAGACACTTAACCTCTGTCTACCTCAGTTTTCTCTAATGTAAAATGAGGGTAATAACAGCACCTACTTCACAGGGTTGTTGTGAGATTGAATGAGACAATATTTGTAAAAAGCACTTAGCACTGTGCCCAACACATAGTAGGCACTTAATAAGTATTTTTTTCCTCCTCCCTGTCGGGGTCATCTACCTTCTGCTGGAAAATCTCCAATGATCAGGATATAGCTCACTACTTCTGAAGGTAGACCATTGTGCTTTTGAACAGCTTTCATTGTTCTGAATTCTAATTACTGGAGCATTGTCCGGTTCCTTGCTAATACCCTACTTCACGCCCTTATCACTTTGAGCCTAGACTAACATCCAATCTGTCCTCAGTCCATCCTTCATACAGGTACCAAAATAACCTTCCTAATGCATGTCCCAGCTGAAAAACAGTCTCCCTCTTTGATATATTCAAAGGATCTGTGATTTTGTCAGTGTGGAGAAATGCCATCCCACACTGCAGATTATACTCTGAGTTGTACCTACTAACCTTCAATCAACAAGCATTTATTAATCACCTACTATATGCCCACTGCTAGGTGCTGGGTATACACATATATATATACATATATATATATAGACACACACACACACACACACACACACACACACACGAACAGTCCTGGACCTGAACTTTACGATGTAGTCGTGGGAGGAGATAAATACATACATGCATGCATGTATGCATATCAGATATACATGTGTGTATGTATACATATGTGTGTAGATAAAAAATAGATACAAGGTGATTTTGAAGGCAAGAAACCAGCAGCTGGGAAGATTGGGAGAGACCTCATGTAGAAGATGATCCTGAGCTGAGAGAAGTGAGGAGAGCATGCATTCTGGGCGTGGGGGACCTGCAGGTAAGAGATGGCATTCCCATGTATTAGGAACAGCCAGAAGACCAGTCTTGTTGGACTTCAGTGTTTCTGGAGGGGAAGTAATGTTGATAAGGCTGGAAAGGTCAGGGTCAGGCATTAAATAAATGCGGCATTTATATCTACTACTGAAGGCAATAGAGAGCCTCTGAAGTTCTCATTTCAGCCTCACAACAACTCTACAATGCAAATGCTATTATCTTCATTTTGGATAAAGAAATGGAGACTGAGAGGTTAAGTGACTTGCCCAGAGTTGTGCAGCTAGTGTCTGAGGCAGAATTTGAATTCAGATCTTGCTGCCTCTCAGTCCAGCACTCTCATCCACTATGCCACCTAATTTCTTCAATCGGTAAACATTTATTAAGCGTCTACTATGTGCCATTCCCTGGGCTTAATATACAAAATACTGTGGAGAAAGAAATGACAGAGGGATGAGACTGAAGAGTTATGGGCGACACTGAGGTTGCAAACCTAGGTGACTGGATGAATAGTTGTAACCAATAGAAAGAGACATTCAGAAAGGGATAAGTTCGTGGGGAGCAACGAGTTCATCATGGGGCACAATTGAATTTGTGGTTTCTGTGGGACATCAGGTGAGGAGTTAGTGATGTGGGACTGGAGCTCAGGCAAGAGATTCAGTCTGGATATATAGATCTGGGAGTCGTGAGTACAGAAATCATTAAGCCAATAGAAGCTGCCAAGGTCACTGGGTTTAGAGAGAACAGGGCCTCGGACTGTTGGGGTACAACTACGTGAGGGGCCATGTTGTGAAGGAGACTGAGAAACAATCAGATAGGCAGGTGAGCCAAGAACAGCCTCATCCAAAGAGAACAGAGTATCCAGAGGAGACACAGTGTTCAAACAGTGTCACATACTTCAGAGAAGTCTCGGATGAGAACTGCAAAAAGATTTGTCACTTTAGAAAAATAACTGATGACTTGGGAGAGAGCAGTTTTAGTTGAGCGATGAGGTTGGAATCCAGATTATAGAGGGGTTAGAAGATAATGAAAGGAAGAAGTGAAGGCAGTGAGTGAAAACAGCTTTTTCAAGGAATTTGGCTGAGAAAGGGATAAAAAATATAGGATGATAGCTTGAGGATGTGAAGGGTTTTTTTTTAAAGATCAAGATTTGGACGTGTTGGTAGACAGCAGGGAAGTAAACAGAGAGGCTGAAGATGGGGGAATGGCATGGTGACAGCGAGGATGATCTGCTAGAGAAGACCCTCATTTAGGAAAGGATAGGATTGGATCAAGGGTACATAGAAAGGATTGACCTTGACAAAGAAAAAGCCTGCCTCTTATCAGAGGCTAGAGTAAAGGAAAAGAGTAGGTAAAAGGGGTGTGAAATGAATAGAAGCAAAAAGAGAGCTCAGCCATTTCCCAGCTATTTTCTCAATAAAATGGAGGTCTTCAGCTTGGAAAGTGGGGATAGGAGGTGGTGTGGAAGAAAATTCATCTGAACAGATGGTGTGGGGAATGGACTAGAGAATCGATTAGGATAGAGTAAAAATATTGTATTGCTCTAGCGTGGGCCCATTCCCCATTGGTAGGTGACTTCCAACTCCATTCAGCAGCATATGAATAGAAGTAGAGAAGTGGGAGGGTGGAAATGATCCAGACTTGGAGTTTGGCAGGACGTGGTAAGACAGTGGATTCCAGAGTAGAGAATTGTGTGGAGTGGGAATGGTCACCTACAAGATGGAGACTGGGAAGGGAGAAAAGAAGTACAAGCAGGGGTAGTTTTTTCAGGCTTCTGGAGGTTAAGTGACTTTTTTAGGGTCACAGGGCTAAAAAGTATCAGAGGAATTGGACTCAGGCATTTATGGCCCCAAACCCTTGATGACACTCTCTCCATTAAGCCACACTACTTCTTGGCACCCTGTTGTCTATAAAGTAAAACATAGACTTCCTAACCTGTAATTTAAAACCTATCATTTGTATTCAGCTTACCTTTGGGGCTATATTTCATGTTATTCCATTTCACAAACTGCCGCAGAGAAAATGGCTCACTTGTTCACTCACTGTTCTCAGTTCTTGTTTGGCCTTCCCACTACCTTGACTTCATACAGCCTGACTCCATTCCCTTTAACCTTAACCCAATTCTAACCTACTAACATCCAACCCCTCCTACCTTCCATGATCCTCCCAGGTAGAATAGGGAAATTTTGGTCTTTGAAACTCCTAGACTGACCTCGTGTATTACATATGTTACGTCCTCACCCACCACCAACTCGTTAAGGTAATTTTGTATCCACATATTCCCAGCATCTTGCAGAGTAGTGGGTCCTCTAAGTGTCAAATTAAAAAGAACTTTCTGGAGTGTGACCTATTGAATATTCCTCTACTTCTTCACCCAAGGTCTAGTCCAACTTCTGCCTAAGCAAGAATTCCCTGCTATCCACCAAGTGGTCATTTAGTCTTTGAAAACAAAATGAGGGGGAACCTACTATCTCCTGAGACAGTCTCGTTCCACTATTAAATAGCTCGTTAGCAACTTCCTTCCCTGGGACAAGCCAAAATCCGCTTCTGTGCAGCCGCTGTTCTGTACTCTTAGCAGTTCCTAAGCCCCACATCTATTTCAGAGGGCTATATAACCCACACCTCCCTCTTTTAACTATTGGCTAACAATCATTCTTCAGGTCCTTCTATTGACTTTTCATGTTCTGATTTCAATTCAGATTGAATCTTTGTGTGCCTACTGGGGGTAAAGCCAAGATTAGGCAAGTGCACGGTCCCATCATTGTGGCCTTGGTACTCTCAGGGTTCTCTCTAGGCCATACTACCTCAACACTCTCCTCACTCCTATTTCCTAACTGGGCTTCTTGAGCCAAGACTAACCTGTCCTATCTAAGGCTGAGGCTCATATAGCACTAAGGTTGGGAAAGTACTTTACATGTATTATCTTATTTGAGCCTCATGAGAGGTTGGGGGGGAGCGGTATCTTGACTTGCACAGAGTCACAAAGGTCATAAGGCGCAGGGTTCACTTGGGTTTTTCTTCAAGTCCAGCACTCTATCATAGAGACGTCATGTTTTCAGGCAGATGGAAAGAAGGCTTCAACCCTTGTCTGGGAGCCCAGAGAACAAGAGACACAAGCCCCCAGGGGGCACTGCCAGAAACAAGTTTATTTACACAAGGACACACAGTGTAACAGGTTACAAAATACTCAACTGAAAACCATACCCAGAGAGAGAGAGACAGAGCAAATGTGGGGAGGGTTACATGAGAATTAGACGAGGTGGGGAAAGGGAAGGAGAACCACCTTTGGACTCGTGGCTCCCCTGGCGGCCATAAGAAGACCCTGTTACACTTAGCCTGGCCCACCCTCACCCCAAAGGCAGGGCTTGAGTTGTGACCAACACCACACACAAACACACACAAGTGGCAAAATGGGCCAATGGTTTTAGAGACACCCCCTCTTGTATCCTCTTCCCCATTCCAGCCTCACTGTAAGGGTAATAAATATGTAAACAGGTTGGTGGGGTCCAGGAGGTGGGAGGGGCAAGGGAAAGAAACCCCACCGCCAGGTACCAGTCCCACTCTTTGGTTTTCTCCAGGCTGCAGGGCTTTCCCAGACACCTCAGGGGCACTGGCCCCTAAGTGCACCCTCTCCTGCTCTCATGCCTAGGTTGCTGAGAGGCCTGGCACCAAAGATGGGAGGGGAGGGGTGGGGGTGGGGGTAGGAGTAGCCTGCCTGCCAGCAGAGGGCAACACGAGGAACAGATAACAGGCAGGAAGAAAGGCTGTCCTTTGTCCCCAGCAGCTGGTCTGAGTAGGGGTGGGG